TTTTGTTTGTAAAAATAGAGCCAGGAGTTTTTGTATGTATGTATGTCTGTAATATGTGTTGTACTAGAATTAGCCGATCCAGTGTTTTGTATTCTACCTTTTAAAATTAACTGCCCTTGTTCTTAAAGTGGCATAAGCTATTCTTCTCACAAAGAGGGTTATAAATTCATCGAATGGCAAAGTTATGTTTCTGGATTGTTGAAGTTTGTGTAGCTTTTTCTCATCAATAGACGGGTGCTTTAATTGCTAACCCTGATCCCATGTCACTGGTAAATAACCTGTCTTTTAAGTGTTAGGTTTCAATATTTAATCTTATATGTTTTCTATAAGCTTAGAAAGGAACTTAATAAAAAATAAATGCTATCTAGGTCTTGAGTTAGACATTATTAAATGATAGAATGAAGGAAGGGGAAATATTTCGGCCAGTGAAGTGTGAGAAATTCGTTTTAATAATTTATATTCTTGTTTACTCATTACAGCTTTAACTAGCATTTATAAATTTCCGAACATTATAAAAAATGTCTTATTGACTATGCTGCGTACTATTGCGTAGAAAACGTCCACAAGGGCTTTTGTCAACGAAATTTGTATTCATGAACTCCCACCAGTTACAATACACCTAACTTTGCATATCATGGCTGGAGTATACTAGTTGTGAGTGTCTTTATGAATGGTCCCCGGCATCCAAAGTTGATCCCTATTAACTTGTTTTCCAATGCTCTTAAGGATGTGGTGTACTACTGGCTTAGATTTTTTAAATTGCTGATCTGGATACGTCTCAGTGTATGAATGACGTACGTCGGAATGTATCTGGATTATAAATTTTTCTTTCCTCTAATTATAGCTTTGATATAATTTTCTCATTTTGCCTACCTCTGTAATATACTACGGTCGTCCGTGATTACAAAATGCCTAAGCTGCTGTGGATTTCATTAAAATATACACCGATCTAGAAATTTGTCTGCGTAATATTTTAACATAAGTAATTTAAGCATTTGTATTAAAAAAAAAAATCAGTTTTCAAAAATATCTAAAATGATATGTTACGAAAACGGGAATATTTTACCTAAATAATCATAGAGAGTTAATATCATAAGACGTTTCTGCAACGGATTAATAAATATTAAATACCTAAATTGTCATAATTTACATAGATGATGTGAACGTTTCTCTATTATTTTAACAGGAATTTAACAATCGAAAATATGGAGAACAACTGTCTGTCGATGCATGAGCAGAGTTCGAAGATTCTAGAATGTTGTGGAGAACATTTTTTAAATAAAGCTGCTTTGCGTTCCCACACGAAAACGTTACATAAAGAAGGTTATAGTTGCAACCTGTGTACACGACGCTTTTGCCGAAGAGCTCTACTGAGACGACACATGAGTGTCCACAATGGTTTAAAGGAATTTTCATGTGAACTTTGTATTTATGCTTCCAGTCACAAAAGCAGCTTGGAGAGACATCAGTTTCGTATCCACGGAATTCCAGAGAAGAATCATCGAAAAAGGAATTCGGTGTCCAAACAATCGGGAACGTCTTCACCATCTTCTCTGGGTTTGCTTCCAGAGAAGAGGAAGATAAATCGTGGAAAGTATCCAATAATCAATCCATTGTATATACACCCGAATTACCAGAGTCTATTTCTGAAGAACCATCAATTACAATGGCAGAAGATATTAACAGAAGGGAAACTAAAGGAACAGACAGAATTTCTCTAACAATCGAAAACATTCGATTGTGGTGCTTTCCTTACAAATGTTTTGAATGCAACAGCGTTTTTAAAAAACAGTCAGACTACATATTTCACCATGACCAGATCCACTGACCACGAGTGATAACACTTATTCGTGCAGCTTTCAGACATCGTCAGCAGGCTCAAGACAAACCTCTGAACTTAGTTATTCATCCTCCACGAGATCTATTTTAATTTCCAATTGTTTTAGAAGTATTTATTGTTATAAATTGATCTCTTACTGTATTTGTATTTGCTGAATTGGTTAGACGCTAGATATGTGTGAGTTAAATTATGCATTACAAAAGTAAATTTCTTATTAGCATCACATTATCTATATTGAAACTGTTTAGCTATATTTTGATAACTATTTAATAATTTAGTTTTTATCAATAGCTTTTGATTTATGGACTGAAACGCTAGAACCCGGGTTTCGATTTGTCGCGGTGGAGAAACAGATATTTCGGAAAAATAAACAGACAGGCCTACAGATATAAAAGCTCATTATCTAATCTTAAAAGTATCAATACTGTAGTAGTTTAGCTTGATATAAATTGCCATATTAAAGCATAGTAATTCGAATTTAAGACATGTGTGTGTGTGTATATATATATATATATATATGCTTGTGGATTTCACTGTGACCAGATGCACCCACCACGAGACGCCCTCGAGATAACACTCATTAATGCAGCTTTAAGACATCGTCAGCAGGCTCAAGACAAACCTTTCAACTTGGTTATTCATCCTCTACGAGATCGATTTTAATTTCCAAGAACATATAGTTTAAAACAATAGTATGTTTAAAAAAAAAAGTTGGTCTACCATATTGAATTTATTCATTTCTACGTTAATCTTGTCTATTCAAGTTTATGTATTTCAGGTAACAATTGTAATATAGAATGTAAACAGCAGATTTTTGAAAGTTGTATATGTCTTGTTTTTGTTCTGGAGGTTTTTCTCCTCTTGTTTTCATAATCTGTCTAGAGATAACTGGAAAGGAAATGATCAGATCGATAGAATAGCACATATACACTTGCACATAGATGGTTATCACCCGGTTATTAACGGTAGGTAAAGTCACTGTATCACTTTCGGTCCATTTCCAATGAAAAGAACAGAACCTGAGTTCATTGTCGAGAGAAACACGAAGAGCACACACTGTATCAGGGTCCAACCCTCCAGCTCTCACACTGGCCTTCAACCTTTTATCTCACCTGACTTCTCAGGATACGGTGTAGTGTCTCCATGGGTACTAGTCACGGGTAGCTAGAAGAAGCACTCTCAAAACTTGAGGTCGATTGAGTCGCCAATTCGCTGGAAAATAGATGAGTCTTGGGGGATCCACTTCTTTTCGAAATCTTCTTGATGTTGACTGGATCTAATTCGTGCCCGGACAGTCACTCTTACTTTCTTTACGATTTCGAAGATATCGGTTCGGGAACGCTGGAAGATGACTCTACATCTGGCGGCCCAGGTTTATGCTTTAAATTCGCCCAATAAGTATAGGAAAGACAAGACATGAGGTTTAATGACAGGTATGGGATGACAGAAAAGAACCGTTGTGTGTGAGATATATCCCACGTGAAAGATGTGGGGAAACTTTCGCCAGGCTGCTGCCACTGTGACGCAGTCGAACATTATATGTTTTACTGTTTCGATGTTTGTACATGATGTGTATATTTTTCTGCTTGTAATGTGAAAAGAATCTAATCGGCTCCTTACTGGTATTATTTCGTGGGCTATTTTCCAGGACATATCTCTCCTGGAAGCTTCGAGCCTTCGGGAGTTTACTCTGTTTCAGACTTTCGCCCATGGTACGCTTGGATAGTTATTCTTTACTTTAGGTGGTATTTCTGTTTGTAATATTTTATAATTTTCCTGCATTTTCATTTGTGTTATTTTTTTCCGGTATTTTTTCTTACCTGAGGTAGTACTATTCTTAAATGAAACTCTAAATAAAAGGGTGGATCTGAAATTCTTAATGACTGGCCTGTTGTGAGTTTGAAATGCCTATTGTGTATATCCAGGAGAATACTTTGAAAATTTCCTCCCGGATGCTCAATTTCCAGAATGTTACATGTTTGTTTTGTCTAGAGCGCTGTTATATATATATATATGTTCGTAGGTCTGGTAGACCCAGGCCTCCTTGTTCTATCGACAGGTTTATTGTTTCTTTTCTTAAGAGTTCGGTCATTCCTGACCATATAAATGTGAAGATTTATAATTAATATCTTTTGAGTGTTTTTCGGAGGGCGAGTATACTTGTCCTATATAAACTAATTTCGGGTGGATTACCTGTTTGATTCCTTGTGCTTTGGCGAGGAAAGACAGAGATCTGTCTTTTCACTTGTTCAGGGTTTCGTCTATTTTATTTATCTGTATATTCCAGTTAAGATTGGTAACGGCTCCGAGGCCGTACCAAATTCCTAATATTTTAATTTGTTTTGTGGTCCATTTAAACATTTGAGATGATGCTTGTGTGTGCTCTACTTTTACCTATTGCGAAAGCTATTGTTTTATTGTGATTTACCTTTGCGCCTGTGGCTGAACTGTAATAATTTCTAAACTTTGGGTTATTTACTGTTCCGATGCTAAAGTTAATGTTACGTCATCTGCGTGCGCCATTACCTTTTGCTGACAGAGTTCGTTACCGGGGGTGGTGACCCGCTCGATGTTCTGACATCGTACTATCTTAGAGAGTAGACAGTCGATTGTCACGACAAAGAGGGTGGGGTACAGAGGACAACCCTGTCTCACCCCATACCTGACAGGTATTTCCCTGGATAAGTGCCCATTTAAGTTGATCACCGCTGTAACATCTCTATATATTGTTCTAATCCAGTTAACTTCTTTTGGGGATATTGCACTTTTCCAATATGAACAAGTCGTGGTTGACTTGGTCAAACGCCTTCTCCTAATCCGTTTTTCACAGCGGGCCAGATAACTGAGAGAATGACGAGCACGGGCCGCATAACCATTTTGTTCAATACAATAAATGCAGTGAATACACATAAAATAAAGACAACAAACATGTTTATTTTCCAAAAAGT